GGCAATTCGGAAGGAAGGCACTCCCTGGTGAATCAAAGGAAGTGCCTGAAACTTTTCTTGCGTGGCTTTCCACTTCTGCCACCCGTCAGCTCCACAGAGCCCAGCCAAAAATTTCCACAAGTGCGGCAACACAGCACCCCGCTGCCACCTGGACCACGATTTGCCAGCTGTTGTTCGCTAAACCCTCCTCCCCCACCAAAAATTCCCGTCAAATTCTTGCACAACCTGAATTTGAGGAGCCCCTCTCGACAGGTTGACCGAAGACCCCCCCGTGACAAGTCCCGACGACAACACAACTTACGTCGATCCCGCGCTTACCAGTCGCATCAGCCAAAACCGTCGCCTGCACGAACCGAAAGCGATCGCCAACATGTCTCGATTTTTCCGCGGCGGAGACGACAGCTCCACCGACTCGTCTTCCGACGAGGAGGAGCTTTACTCCGAGGAGGAGGAAGAGGAGGAGCAGCAAGACCAGGAGGACTCTGATGAGGAGGAGGAGGAGGAGGATGACTCCGACTCTGATTCCGATGACAGTGATGGTGGAAAGAAGGCCGGTGCCTCGCGTTTCCTTCGCGATGCTTCTTCAGAGAGCGAAGACAGCGAAGACGAGGAGCGGGTAAAGGTCAAGAGTGCCAAGGATAAGCGTATCGAGGAACTCGAGGCGACCATCAAGCTTATCGAGAACGGCCAAAAAATTGGTGATTGGGCTTCCATTTCCACAGGTAAGATACGACGGAATACCTCGAGCTCGAGATGCTGGAAATACGGGCGCTAACGTCTATGCGCAGAATTCGACAAGCTCAACCGCCAGGTTACAAAACTTCAAGAGGGTGGCAAGACCCCCAAGGTCTACATCAAGGCCGTTGCTGAGCTCGAGGAGTACATGAACGAGGCCATCGCAAAGCAGAAGGTCACTCCCGCCAAGAAGGGAATGAACGCCACCTCTGCCCGTGGATTGAACGCCGTCAAGCAGAAGATCAAGAAGATCGTCAAGGACTACCAGTCCCAGGTCGATGCCTACAAGGCCGACAAGGATGCCTTCATGGAGTCCGAGGAGGAAGAGGAGAAGCCCGCACCCAAGGCCAAGAAGACTGCCCGTTTCGTCGACACCACCGAGGAGGCTGCCGAGGGCGATGACGATGAGGGTTTCGCTACTGTCGGAAAGGGCGGCCGCACTCTGCAGTTCACCCCCGAGAGCATCTTCAAGCACCTGAGAAGCATCATGGAGACTCGCGGTAAGAAGAACACCGACAAGCAGGAGCAGATCAAAATCATGGAGAAGCTCAACGAGATCGCCAACACACCCTACCAGAAGATCCGCGTTCTCCTCACCCTGGTCTCTACCCGCTTCGATCTCGGTTCCGGCGGTGCCTCCTACATGCCTGTTGACCACTGGAAGGCTGCCGAGAAGGAGCTGAACTCCCTTCTTGAGGTCCTTGAGCAGAACAAGGACTACATCGTTGTCGAGAACGCTGAGGAGTGGGATGATGACGAGAAGCCCCCCGCGTTGGAGAAGGGCCAGAAGTACATCAAGGTTCCGGGAAGCATTGTTTCTTACGTCGAGCGCCTCGACGACGAGCTCACTCGTTCCCTCCAAAATATCGACCCCCATACCTCCGAGTACATCGACCGCCTTACCGATGAGGGCGCCCTCTACAACACCGTCTTCCGCGGCATGCTCTACTACGAGTACCTCCGCAAGGATGCCGAGCTCGAGATTCCTCAGGAGAGCATCAACCGTGTTGTCACTCGTCGCCTCGAGCACGTCTACTTCAAGCCCGCTCAGGTTGTCAAGATCCTCGAGGACAACTGCTGGAAGAACGTCCCCTCTACCGTCGAGTCCGTCATCACCCCCCGCGACCAGGCCCAGGATGCCAACAACCTCGTCAACGTCCTTTGCAACTACCTCTTCACCAACGCTGAGGGCATTCTCCGCGCTCGTGCTATGCTGTGCCAAGTTTACTTCCTTGCCCTGCACGACGAGTACTACAAGGCTCGCGACATGATGCTCATGTCTCACTTGCAAGAGAACATTCCTAACTTTGACGTCCTCTCTCAAATCCTCTACAACCGTACCCTCGTCCAGGTTGGTCTCTGCGCTTTCCGCCAGGGTCTCGTCTACGACGCCCAAAACACACTGCAGGAGATCTGCGGCAGTGGTCGCCAGAAAGAGCTGCTCGCTCAGGGCGTCATGATCCAGAGATACAGCCAGGTGTCACCCGAGCAGGAGAAGCTCGAGAAGCAGCGCCAGCTGCCCTTCCACATGCACATTAACCTCGAGCTCCTCGAGTGCGTGTACCTTACCTGCAGCATGCTGCTGGAGATCCCCCTCCTGGCGCAGACCGGCTCCTCCCCCGACGTCAAGAAGCGTGTTATTAGCAAGACTTACCGCCGCATGCTCGAGTACCACGAGCGCCAGATCTTCACCGGCCCTCCCGAGAACACAAGAGACCACGTCATGCAGGCTTCCAAGGCCTTGGCCGCTGGCGAGTGGAAGAAGTCCACCACCTTTATCCACAGCATCAAGATCTGGGACCTCATGCCCAACACTGAGGACATCAAGACCATGCTCTCCAAGCAGATCCAGGAGGAGGGTCTGCGGACATACCTCTTCACCTACGCTCCCTTCTACGACACCCTGGCCGTGGAGACATTGAGCAACATGTTCGAGCTGGACGCCAGCAAGGTCCTCGCGATCGTCAGCAAGATGATCAGCCACGAGGAGCTCGCGGCCTCCCTCGACCAGGTCACATCGACCGTCATCTTCCGCAAGGGCGTCGAGCTCAGCCGTCTGCAGAGCCTCGCCCTCACCCTCTCAGACAAAGCCAGCGCGCTCATCGAGACCAACGAGCGGACACTGGAGCAGCGCACCCAGGGCTCTGCCAACGCATTCGAGAGACAGGGCGGCCGCGGCGGCCGTGGCGGACGCGGTGGCGCGAGGGGCGGCAACAGAGGAGGCGCGAGGACGGGCGGCAACCCCCAACGGCAGGCCGGCGGTACTCAGTTCACGGGCGGCGCATTGGGTGCCGCGGTTCGGGGTTGAGAATGAAAGTGAAAGAGGAGAATCGAAACGGGGGTGGGTTCCTGGGGTTTTCACGCTTGTATCTTGCATTAGGGTTGGGTTGCTTAATCCAAAATACCGGCCGCGCGGGGCTCCAGAAAGAAAAAAGAGCCTTGGCTGGTTAGGTGTTTGTAGCTTCAGGGAATAGAAGCTGATAGAGTTACGTCACGTCCAACGATGCAGAGTGTGTATGAATGTCACGATTTAGCCGTTACCACGATTGATGGCCTTCTCTGGGCGTAGTCCCAATTTGTTGCCACCGTACAGCAAAAAGACACTGAGTAAAGACTTCTCCGCGAGCAACAGCGTAATTGTGATTCGTGCGGGCGTGCGAAAATTGTCATAGGCTTCCCCTCGTGAAGATGGAGATGTGTGCATGCCAAATTTGCAAAGAATTGGGTTTCGGGGAAATCTCCAACTAAACCCAATCCCACACTCCCCTCAGCCTCAGCCAAATCTGACAACACCGCATTCCAGGATCCCAGGAAATCAGCCTTCTCTGCCGCCAAACGAGATGCAGTCGACGAATTTCGTCTTCTAAGAGAACGTCAAGCCTTCCTAATTTCTTTCCGGGTCGCAGTGTCAACAACAGGTCTCAGGATCCATCAAATAACCCGCCTTGCTAGCTCAATCGGTAGAGCGTGAGACTCTTAATCTCAAGGTTGCGGGTTCGACCCCCGCGTGAGGCTCAAATCCTCACCGCGATTGGCACAGCCATTCTACGGGTTAATTTTTTTGCATTTTTTAGGTCTTGGCAATTGGGGGTGTCCTCATTCTCGTGCTTAGCACGCTCACGTAGTTTATGTAGCCTTTGGGTGAGTAGCAAGGCCAACTGATCACAATCACACCTGCATTCAAGTGATCACGCAAAACATTACTTAAACAAAGGACACTATGCAGGACTTGTATACAGGATGACTTGTGCCTAGCTTATGGTCATAGCTCTTCAGCAATTAACTTGTGACAAACCTTAGTAGATATCTCCAGACACTGTTAGCTTAACCTCACTGCAAATACTTTGTTGAGCAAGATTGATCACCGTAGCCTCTAATCACACGATATGTTTAGCGCACGACTCACACGACTCACACGACTCAGATCCACGTGACGATGTCTGCTTTACAGCTTCAATCCCGAGCTTCTGTGAGCAGACGCTACTGTAGAATGGCTGACTATCACATGCGAACTCAATTTCTCCCTTGTTGGAATTCACTTTCTTATTGGTATCTACTTTCTCGCCTCCAATGTGATATTCCGAGTCGTGGATCCGTGAGTTTAAGATACCCAAGGTAGGTTCCATTGAAGTATCAGGTAAACGATGGTATCCCCCGGATTCAGTTCTGATTCAATTTCATACAGTGGGGGGTCTTGGCTCAGGTACACTTTTCAGGCTCCCGGCGCTGCCGGTCAGGGGATCGGCTCCTGAGTCAGGACTTTTTCGGAGATCGGATATTTTGACTGTCCTGTCTGATTATTTTTTGACTGCGTACCAGTGCCAACCAATGCTTGTATTATACCAGTCCACTTCAGTCATAATTGTCAATCACGGTCGCTAACCCCGTCAATTACGTCGAAAGGAAGTCGTCAACTGCGGTCGAAGAAATCGTCAGGTGCGACCGTACAAGTCCCTAATTCCTGTAGTATCATTGCGGAGGAAGGAGTTGCAATCGCGAAAGCCGTGGTTAGTGGTACACAGTCAAGATGGTCCGGCAGCATACCAAGGTAGTCAAAATAACCGGTCTCTTTTTCAGGTTCCAAGAAGTAACTTATTATACTTCAATTCAGTGTAAACTTTCTATTATCCCGTGTACTCCGCCTCTAATAAATCCAAATTTATATAAGGTTTCTTATGACTCGCAGTTGGGCCAGTTGGAAATGCGATTCCGGCAGCTCTATCTGCAACAATAGACAATCGCAACATGCATAGACTATTTAAAGGAGTGACTATATCTCGTCAACTCTATAGAAAAATTTCATTTTCACACCGCACTTAACATACCGTCTTGAACATATCGCCTCCAAATAACCACAATCACATCCTACACTATGTTCTCCCACACTCTCGTTTTCTTGGCCGCTACCTTGGCTGCTCTGGCTCAGCCCGCCCTGGGATTGCCCACTGAGCAGCTTGATGCCCGGCAGACTGTGTGTTCGATAAACGAGAAGACTTGGACGGCTACCATGACGGGGACGTGCTCCATTGACGGAGGCCCGGCCATGACGTGTGATCAGAGAACCGATCTCAAGACGCTCGTCGTAAAGAAGAATACGATGTTGAGCGCCTCAGGCCTGGGCAACAACAAATTCGAATGCAAGGGATACCAGTCCGTAAGTTACAAGATGTCGCCCTTGTTCCACGTCCGTCGGCTTACATAGTTACTCAGTGGCAATGCTGCTCTTCTTAGAGTATGGCACTCAGCGTGAACACGAGCTTGGAGACATTTTAGTAAAGCCTGAGAAGATAGTCACCGATTTCTTATAGATCAAAGGGAACAAAACAATTTCCAAAGGACTCGACTCCAGTAGATTCGGATGGAGGTTTAGAGTAATACAACCAATTTTTGAAGAACCATTCATTCTCAGCCTACCTTATTAATCCTCTTATTTCTTACAGTCTTGAAGGTATCCAATACCTAAGAGAATCAACACGCCGCAGTTTACAACATCCCTAAGCACCAGCTCTGTATCCTCCCATAGACAATAACGGAGGTGAACAAGCCTGGCGTGGGTACCAGCGTAGAGTAGGTCCTCATTTGCGGGTCTGTCTTTTTCGAGAGCTATTGCAAAAGCAAGTTCGGACTTAGATACAACCCTCACATCAGGGGCAAATATAAAAAACGTGCGGCAGCTTAAGGACAGATTTCAAGAAACTTTGGCAGACAGAAATCATTGTCTAGATTTTCGCCATGTGCTTTCTGAGCTTGCTTTCATTGGTATCAGATGCAACCAGAATGAGAAGGGATTTGGGACTTTTTTATCCTCCTTTACCGCTTGGAGGGAGCGCAGCGAGCCCTCATTACTTTCCATTTACAAAGGCGTCCACGCATTTGATTATCAAGCTTTTGCCCTAGACATGCTAGAAAAGCTTGCACAAAGGTTGTGCTTCTTCAGGCTCTTGGCGAGAATGCAACATAAGTGTTGCACCCGCGGCAGGATTTCTTGGCCTGGTAATATGATTTAATGCACGACAGTTCGACTCTACATAGCATTGCTCAACCCGACGAGCACGACGTTGAGACAACGCTGGGAGCTACCGGACCGCCGACCCGACTCTTAATAGTCAAGGTGAACGATACCGATAAGCCATTCCAGGATCAGAAGGCCCGTGCTCAACAGAAAGAACACACTTACCAAATGCCAAAGGAAGCGGACACCAGTTTGCAAACGTCTGTAGAAAATGTGGACAACGTGTGTCGCAATTTACTCGGCATACTATTCATGGTAAGACGAGCTTGAGCAACTCATCGGGATTAGGTCTTGGACGATCGGACTTTAACGCCAATAGTGAGGGTTTTAGGTGTTCGGAAACTCCACTGACAGCGAGTGAGGCATACCTACGGAGTACATGACGAAGATTGCTCGACATGGAATGGTGTGTCACGGTGTGTGCGCGTTTAAAAATTTGATCTGATAACGGCCAAAATCCGGGGCAGCGTGAGCACGTTCCTTTTGATTCCTTGAATTCTCTCTGTTTTGACTGCCACCTGCGTTCATTCCGAGCTAGAGTTCCGAGCCCTCTCCACCAGTACCCGCCGCGCTTGCCGAATCAAATTCAACCGAGGTCATTTGTGACATCCACTGCAATGCCGAACAACCTGAACTCTCCCACCAGAGACGGATGCACTCTGCGAGTCTGCAGCGGTGCAGCTCCATGGCGCTGTGGGAGCATCGGCCCGCCGCCGGCAGCAACGCCATCTTTCCTTTGCGTCGCACAATCATGAGCCGAAGGAGCTTTACCTGCTCTAACGAGTCCCTTAGGCGATTACCTAGCTACCTAAGAGTAAACCCTGTGACCATCCATGGCATCTATCGGCGTGTGCCGTTCGGTAAAAGCCAGCACTGCAACGGAGCATCCACCTCGGCGCATGAACATGGCTAATTGGGACAACGGCTTTGGGTTCTTCTTGCAGCTGCCAGCTGGACTTTATTTTAGCGTTCCCTGCCCGTCTTTCTGCTTCTTTTTTTCTCTTCTGAACCTCTTCTGAACTAGAGAGAGCGATTTTTGGGGGTGACTTTGTTTTAGTCGGGGTTTCTTACAACACCAAAGCTCCTCCCACTTTCTAGAGGGTCCCCTTCCTGTCTGTCCTTCTTCACAAGCTTGGCCATTGACGTGACGTCGAACAGAGGAGGAACCCACAAACAAGCTCTCTCAGCCCGCTTCCTCTCTTTCTCTCTCTCTCACCTCTCGCCCTCCGATCTTCGGGATAAAGCTTTACCACCGACACCGAGCTCGAAACCAGGACCCTATCTGGGAGCTTGTCTCGCACAAACCTTTGGTCGTCGTGAGACACTTTTTTCTTTTCGGTTCCTTTTACAGTCCTCTTTCCTTTTTCCTCGGACGAGAGAAACCACCAACAGATCGGGTTCCTCGAGACAATAAAGCCCACCCAAAAAAAAAAAAAAAGGACGGCCAACGAGACTCGCTTTCCTCGCCCATCATGTCCACAGAAACAGCCGATCAGGCGCCCGCCGTCTCCGATCTCCCCTCCGGCGACCCCATCCCCGCCGCGCCCGCGCCCCCGACCGCCGCATCACCGGCTTCGATAGCAACCCCGAAAGGCACAGCCAAGAAGCCCACCCTCGGCCAGATCCTCGCCGCGACGCCCTCCAACGTCGACTCCTTCATCGCCCACCTGAACCGCTGCTTCGCCACCCCGTCCGGCATCGACGCCGTCCTCTGCTGCCTCTGCTACACCTCCCGCTTCTCCGCCTCCGTCATCGACTCCCTCAGCGTCTCCGCCCTCCGCCACTCGGCCCGCAAGCTCGTCGCCCTCGCCTTCTCCCTCCCGCCCGACACCACCATTCTTTTGAGCAAAGCGCCGCCCGCGGCTGCGGCGGCCAGCCGCGGCATGCGCGTCGCGGGACACCTGAGGGCGCTGGCGTCGCTTCTGAGCGAGGCGCGCACGATTACGAGGCTGTGGGCGCTGTTGCCTCTGTACCTCTGGCTCCGCCGCCTCATGACGATACCGGCCATCACGGAGGAGGAGAAAGAGAAAGGTACAAAGGACGCGTCTGAGGCGGCGCTGGATAGGGCCCTCTCGTGGCTGCAGGTCGTGGCGTGTCTTATCCTGCAGTCGCTCGAGAGCTCGTCGTATCTTGCGTCCAAGGGGGTGCTGCCGATGACGCCCAAGCAGCAGGGGACCGCGGCGCGGTGGAGCGTGCGGTTCTGGAGCGTGTTTGTGGGCAGCGAGCTCGGCCGGCTGGCGATTGAGAAGCTGCGGCGGCGGGCGGCGATCCGGCGCGGGGAGCTGGAGGTGAGCAGCGGGGAGTACAAAGAGTGGGCGGACGTTTGGGGCAGGACGCTGGCGAGGCAGGCTTCGTGGTTCCCGCTGACGGTGCACTGGAGTATGGATAAGGGGTTCGTGCCGGAGATGGGGATCGGGTTGCTGGGGAGTATCCCTGGTATTGTGCAGATGAGGCAGTTGTGGAAGGAGACTGCGTGAGAGGGGAAAGCAGCTTGCGTGGTTGGACGTGGAGAACTCGAATAAGACTGGAAACGATGAAGAGGTGCATATGAGACAGTTAGACGCACCATGCCGCCACTATCGAGGCAGCTTTCTGGCGAAAGCTCGTGGTATCAGAGTCTGTTGTGACGCGCGCGGGCGATCTGCTCGCTGGTGTCGGGAACGAATTTTTCCATTTCATGTTCATGATATAATAGATGTCAATATATTTCTCAAAATATCAGAATCCCAAGCACAAAACGCTATGCCCTTGTTCCCCCTTCTCCCACCTCTTTTCCCCGAGTATATACGCCAATCTCCTAAGATGAGAACACGCCCATGCTCATATGACTCACATGGGCATCCTCCTAACCTCCTCCATCGTCCAATACTTTCTCATATTCTCCGCCCCCAACGTCTCCACCTCTTGATCAAGGTGCGTCCAGAGCACTTCGCCCCAGCTATCCATCTTCTCCTTCAGGACGCCCAGCTCGAGCTCCGTCTCGCGGTCGCGGCAGGCGCGCAGGTAGGCCTCGAACTTGTCCATGCCGTCGTGGATCTGCTTGTGCTGGCGGAGGAGCTCCGCGCCGCCACCGCGACCGCCGGTGCGGAACTCGGGCATGCGGCGGGCGAGCATGGGGAAGACGTGGGCTTCTTCGATCCCGTGGTGGGCTGTGAGGTGGCGGGTGAATTGCAGGCCCGTATCGAGAAATTGTTTGAGGGACATGTTTTGGGGGCGGCGGCCTGTTGAGGCTGCTGTGTGGAGGAGGGTCCATTGGTGGCGGAAGTGGTTGTGCTGGTTTTGAGGTTAGCTTTTCACACTTTCTCTCTCTCTTTGAGCAGTGTGAGTAGCATCTTGTCCTGTCTCGTTTGCTTTAGGTGTGTCGGGAGGATTGAGGATGGTGAGAGATGTGTGAGGTTTTGAAGGAGTGAAGGGGGCGTGATGAGATTGGGGTGAGTGAGTGAGTGGGCTTCTTACAAAGTAGTTCATCTTTTCTGCCATTTGGTTGTAGACTTTGAACTCGGCCGGAGTCAGAGGTGGTAACTCGGGCTTTGCTGAAATGGTCTCCTCCGTCGACGGTGCTGCCGCCGCCGCCGGCGTGGCTTGTGGTTGTTCGGTCGCGCTGGCAGACATGGTGTTGAAGGTACGGATATTCCGAAGTTCAGAAATTGGGTGTCGAGTTGTTGCGAATGCGCTGCGCGCCGGGAGGGGGTAACGACGGAGTCTGGAGATGAGATGAACTGCGCGGGTACTTTGGGAAAAGATTCTGCTAGCAGGAATTACCACTTTCATGGTATTTGGAGAAAGGGTAGCTCAAAGGAAGTTTCTTTCTCTGATTCATTTCGTGGAGGGGGAGGGGGGACTGTCTCTAGAGGTTTTATCCTGGGATCATGCGCGCGCGCCTGCCCACGCCGCCGCCGCCCCTCCATCCGAGCGATATGCTAAGGCTTGTAGGAATTGCCCGCGGCGGGTAAGCTAAACTGTTTACAGACGGAAGTAGGAAAAGGAGCCCCTGCAAGTACACCGCGCGGCTGATAGTGCTTGGATTTGGGGTTGGTTCGATTGGCCACCACCCCCGCCAGATTCCGTGTTGGAGAGAAATTGGAGACTGGATGCAGGTTGGAAGCCCACTTTGCTCCCAAGAACAAAATCAGATGCCAGCAACTTCACGTTTTCTCTGGAAAAACATCGTGAACTTGACTGAGGGTTAGGAGGGACATCTCATTCACCGCAATCATGACTTCTCGTTTTCCTCAATGTGACCGACCTATGGGTTTGAAGAGATTTCATTTCGGCGTTCGCAGATTGGTTGGCGACCCTCCTTACTCAGCTCTTTGAAAGCGGGAAGCGGAAGCGCGAAGGCGGGCGGCGCTGCGGCAGTCGCCTTTCCCATTCGCGACTCGCTCTTAGACATTGGGAACATTCCCACATTGCTCTCATCTATCCGTGCGACTGCTATCGCGCGCAGGCTCAATTTGTAATGGAAGACATGGACTCGGCATCCGATCTTGTCCGCGCCGCGCCGCTCCGGGCCGGAATCCATCCGGTAGGTCATCCCGCATCCGATAGTGGATCAGGGTCCGGTCTCTCGGCCCGTCCACGGCATCGGCACTCATCACGTGTTCGTTAGGCCATGCGTGCATGCGGGGGCAGATTTGCACTGCACTTTCAACGCTCACCTGCTCTACAGTGTGCTAGACTTTGTCGAAGCAGATGCGTGGTAGCACTGCTTTTACGGCATTGGACGCTTCCGCTGCCTTCAATTGGTCAGTACTGCCTCCTGAAGCTCGGTCGATTCCGCGGGCCCGCGGTCCCCACTATCACAGGCAGCAGCAGGCAACAGCACGACTAGACATGGGCAAAGGGAGAGCGTATGAGCAAACGTGACTTCGTGGACGTCTCGCGTTCTGTCCATCCTCAACCCAGCTGAACTTTACAGTTGAGACGCGTCGCAGCCTAATTTGAACCACAAGAATCCCACGGTCGTCTAGCATTGACCCCTCAATCCATACCTCTTGGCTACCCTGACGGTGATCCTTCCACTGAAGTACAAAAGGTCGAAACTTTTTCCACACTTCTAGATTGAAAACTCGTCTGCAATCCCATCGTTACATCATTCTTACCATCGAGGCCAGGAATTGGATCGAGGTTGTTCTCATCGGCTCACATCAAACTCGATTTCAAGCTACCACCAGGGGGATTGGCAGCAGCTAACATGTCCACCACGCTGACTGTCCGCGAGCGGCTCACCCTCTGCAAGTGGGCCGATAGTCTACCTGGCGACATCACTCCGACCCTCACTCGCGGTGCGGAATGGGTTAAGAGCGAGTTTGGAAAGGATGTCCCCGAAGCCGTCATCCGGACCATCCTAGACCGGTCAGACACGACAGATGACTTCCAGGCCTACGTAAGACTTCCTTGTCCAGCCCCTATCATAGTAGCATAATGGCTGATAGCAGAGAAGAACGACGGCGAGATTGCCCCCTTGATACGCCCGGGTTTCGGCAAAGAATACTGGGAGATGCCTGACGACGATGCCGCGTTCCCCAGCGCCGTACAGGAGTGGAAGGCATCCACCCTGACGTGGGGGGAGATCGCCATCTTGTGGTTCGTTGAGAAGATCACGAATAAGCCTGATTGGCATGTCAAGGTCTTTGATGAGGAGATTGTTGCCAAGTGGAAGCAGGAGGTCATGGCTGTCGAATGGAAGGCTGTGGGTCTCAAGTATGCTTATTTCGACGACGATTTGTTCAAATTTGTAAGTACTAGGCTGTATCTGAGGCGGCTCCTCGTTGCAAATGGGTTACTGAATGGCAATGCAGGCTATCGCTGAGCTTTGCGAAAAGGCCAAGCTGTTCGAAGCTACTGGCCTGATCCCCATCTTCGATGCCTCGTCCGTCGTCATCAAGTCTGACAGCGCCATCACCCCGGAAGTAAAAGAGGAACTCAAACAGGGCGTAGCCGCTCTCGAAGACATCCCCGAAAACGAAAAGGACTGGCATCCCGGCAGCGACGGCAAGGTCCTGGACCTCGTGCACCCTTCCCTCTGGCCACTTGTCTTTGGAAAGTCTCGCATCGTCGCCGATAAGCGCATTCTGCTCAAAGACACGCTGGCGGCCTGCGGCACAGGAGACGTCATCCCCGTTCCGAAGAAGAGGTATCCCGACCACCAATCCTCCGACGACCTATGGTCCACCAAGTACCAGTGGCTCCCGTGCGACATTGACATTGAGGAAGGCAAGCCGAAGATCATGAGCTACATCAACAACCTGCACCCCCAGCACCATGCCGGCCTCTACACCACCATCGAAAGGGTGCTCGAGAAGGCTCTCCCCATGTGGGATCTGATCTACAGGTGGCACGAAGACTACGAGACCCTCCGCATCCCCTGTGAATCAGCCCGGACACAATGCCTGGCAGAGTGCACCCGATGGTGCTGTCCCGAAAACCGCCCAGTAGACCCAGACGAGGCCGAACGTGACGAGGACGGATTCAACGACGATTGGGGCGGGTACAGCGCCGAGGAGCCCAGCCGCGAACTCTGGCGGAGAGACAAGATCTGGTTCGAACGCACCCACCCAATCGAGAAGCCGCCCATCCCCGCGTATAAGCCGATGGGGCTCCAGCCCAAGGACGTCAACCTGACCTCCGGCTTCTTCAACCACGCCGACCGCATCCAAGTCATTGTCAAGCTCGCCAACATCCACCTCACGCCCGAAAAACCAACCTACGACGGCGGGTCCTGGCACATTGAGGGCCAGCTGAACGAGCACATCGCCGCCACGGCGCTCTACTACTACGACAACGAGAACATCACCGACAGCCACCTCGCCTTCCGCACCGTCGCCGACAGGGAGGAGCTCATGGGGGAGCTCAACTACGAGCAGGGCGACTTCCACACCATTGACCGGACACTGGCGATCAACTCCCACGCGGACACGAACCAGCGCCTCGGCAGCGTGCTCACGCGAGAGGACAGGCTGCTCGCGTTCCCCAACGTCTACCAGCACTGCGTTGCGCCGTTTGAGCTCGTCGACAAGACCAAGGCGGGCCACCGCAAGATCCTCGCGCTGTTCTTAGTCGACCCGAGGATTCCGATTATTGGTACGGCGAATGTGCCGCCGCAGCAGAGGGGGTGGTGGAGGGAGGGCGCGGCGCCAGGGGACCGATTGGGGACGTTGCCGCCCGAGGTTACGGATATGGTGTTTGATAATATGGATTTCCCGATTGGGATGGAGGAGGCCAAGAGGATACGGGCTGATTTGATGGAGGAGAGGACGGCGATTGCTGAGCAGGGGATGGGGGTGATGACGACTATGGAGTGGAACTTTTGTGAGCACTGAGTCTGGCGAACGGGCCCCGCGTGGTTTTCGTATCGAAGGAAGGGACCGCTCAGTCGTCATGGCGGTGAAGGGAGAGGAACTTGGAAGCTGTGTTGAGGCGTTGCTTGACCGGCCTGAAAGTTGACACCAAATATGTCAATAGCTGTGCAAATCGTGTCACCCCAGCCTCAGCTCCTGACTGCGGTTGTGGTCCGATTGGACAACCTGACGGCATCCTGCGCTCCCGCATTAAGACATGTGGGTTGTGTCTCATGTCGTCTGCCAATACGTTAGCTGCTCGTGAAACATCGAGAGTTGATACCAGGGCACAAGAGCTTACTCACAAGGATCTTCTCATTCATGAGTACGCGTTGCTTGTTAGAAAATATGGTATAAATCTTGTCCCTTAACAAAGTTGCCTCGATACTCACCTCTCACTGGCACATATTCTGGTGTCCTTCATGTTGGCCACTGAAACCATCTACTCCTAAACGCAGCACCTCATCGACCTCACTTCATCATGCTTTACTATCTCATCGACAGCTTTAAGTCCAACAAGGACGCCAGACCTAGCCCCGAGCCACTAAACCACCAAGAGGCCTCAACCTCTGAGAAATGGCTCGTCCACAAAATCCACCAAGCAACAACCACCACTCCCGCCCTCAACCAGAAGACCGCAAACACCACCGTCGTCGACGACCTCAACCCAAGCCTTACCAACCTCCGCACCGTCGTCCAAAACGACCCCCACCTTGCCACTTTAGCAGACCAAATGTTCACCCAAGCCGCGGCCCTCCAGCCCCGCGACCCGACAGAGCAACCCGCCATCCAGTCCTTCCGCCAGTTCCTGCAGGTCGTCAACGTCATCATGCGCTCCGGGCCGCAGTTCTTCGACAGGCCGGGTAACGAGGACGCCATGGGATTCGTGGCGGCGCCGATTAACGCCCTATTGAATTATCCCATGGGTACGGCGGCTGGGTACGAGTTCTTTCGGAGGCGAGAGGTGAACGAGGCGATGGGGGAGGTGTTGAGCGCTTGGGGTAGGTTTCTTGCTTCGAGGGAGTCGAGGGGGTGTTTGAGAGCGTGGGTGTCTGCTTCTGGCCAGGTTGTGATGGCGGAGAGGGCGGATGGAAGGTTGGAAGGTGGTGGGTTGGGGTTTAAGGAGTTATTTGTTTGTCCTGATCCTGAGGATACGGAGACTCTTGGGTATAAATCGTGGGATTCGTTCTTTGTGAGGCGGTTTCGGGAGGGCGTACGGCCTGTGGAGTTCCCCGATGACAAGGACCGCGATGATGAGAAGAGGCTGTGGGTTGCGGGCAGTAGTAGCACCCTTGGCATTCGAGTCGACGACAACACCTCGGTCATCGTCAACGCGTGCGAGTCGGCGCCGCTGCAAGTCGTATCCAACGTCGCCCTGGGCGCCGACGTCACGCTGAAGGGCCAACCGTACTCCCTCACCGACATGCTCAACAACAACCCGCTCGCGCCGCAGTTCGTCGGCGGGACGATCTACCAGGCCTATCTGAGTGCCTTCAGCTACCACCGCTGGCACGCGCCCGTGAGCGGGCGGATCGTCGAGGTGGAGATGATTCTGGGTACATACTTCAGCGTGAACCGGTACCAGGGCATAGCTGTGTGTGGGAACGACAATGATGATACAGATGGTCCGGATCCGCAGGCGCCGTGTAGGTCGCAGGCGTATACTGCTTCGGTGGCGACGCGGGCGGTGGTGTATATACAGGCGCGGAACCCGAGGATCGGGTTGATGGCGATTGTGTTTGTGGGTATGACGGAGGTGTCTAGCTGCGAGGTGACTGTAAGGGCTGGGGAGGAGGTTGTGAAGGGGCAGGAGATTGGGATGTTTCATTTCGGGGGTAGTTCGCATTGTCTGGTGTTCCGACCGGGTGTTCAACTGAGGTTTGCTAAGAACCGGTTCCCTGCGGGCCTTGAAGGGAATAACAGGGTGAATAGTGCGCTCGCTGTGGTTGAGTGAGAGCGAATGCTGGCGCGATTCTATATGCATAAGTTCGAGACAAGAACGAGTCCATGATGTCTAGTCTCTGGCCCAGCATTGCTTTGAAATATCCCCCGGATGTAAAGGTAAGTATTTGATCAAATAGGCCGAAGAGAAGTACTGCCCTAAAAATATCTCGCAACTAGTACGCATGATCGAAATCTTCCGTTGTGTTGCTCCAGAGGTCAATCAATTACACGACAAGACCTCAACGAACATACAATTTGCTACTCCTTGCCTCGTCCGTGAGCCAGAATTCAGCCGGCGACGCCGAGTCTCCAAGTTTCATCAGCATTTCCCCTTCCATCCATCCCTGGACGAAGCAGGTGCCACCAAACCTGTACACAGTCTCCCCATCTACACTGTCAACCTCTTGCAGCAATACTGGCACAGAGCACGTTGCTATCACAGCCAAAAGCCACGGCTTGTCGAAAGTCTTTTCGGAGATGTAAGAAGGCAGGAGGGCCATGTACCCCTTTTTCGTGATACAGAGCGTCCTTCCTCGGAGCACCGACTGTACAATATCAAACCACGGACGCCCTTCATAGCTGTAAGGCGCCCCCTGCGTCGGGATATGGCGCGACTTTGCAGTAATGCAGTCGTAGTTATGCCACGCGTTCTGATCCTTGGTCTTATTGAAGCGAGCACCGAGGGCTTCCAGCTTTTCCGGGTTCCGGTCGCGCCGTTCCCAGGCCGAGGTTACGTCGCCGTGGAACATGGCGATGGCCGCTTGTAGAGGATCATCGTACGGGTTGGCTTCGCGGTCTTTATAGATATTTGGTATGGCTGCTGTCCACTCTTGGAACTTGTAGAAGGCGTCTGGGTCGGGTGGCTGAAATATGTGTCCTGAGGGCATCTCCCCTGAGTCTTTGATGATATCATCAATCTCGTCTAGGATAACGCCGCGACAGTTGATAATGCCCTTGTTAAAGCTGAAGAATTCTTCAAAGTCGCGAAGCTGTCCAACTCCTCCGTCAGCGGAGTACAGCTCGCCGTCCAAGTCGTCCATCAGCATCATACGCCTCATGGGGATCCTCTCTCGACGGACGAGGCAGCTCGTGGCTGCCGGGACGGTCCAATCGGGACACCATGACGGCACGAGACTGTAGAACTTATCGACGTTATGCCATGGCTCAGAGGCGGCGATGATATCGAGACTTCCGTGCTGTCTTGACCAAGCTGTTGCGAAGTCAATAAAGACTTGTTGGCGGCTTTGGTTATAATCCAGCTTGAAGTCGAGTCCCTTCTTATCCCGTGCCAAGTTCCACAGAGCGAATATCTTGTCTCTGCCGTCGGTTGCCTGGAAGTCTCGTGTGAGAATGGCGGCCTCAAGAAAGCCAGGGCTGTCCTTCCTGACGGTGGGTGAGAAGAACGAGGAGTACAGCTTTCCTCCGGCCATCAGGTGCCTAAAGTAGAAGAGTTTGCGAATGAAGATGAGCTCGTCGTACGATAGACCAAACTGACCCAGCTGCGGGTCTGCGGCCGTCATCTGCGTTCTGAGAACGGGGTTGAAGGCTATCATGGCTTGCAAGTTGTACGCGGCGGCATCGAGGGATCCGAACCCGACGGCTTTCCGGTTGCCGACTATCACCGCGGGATCTGACGAGGTAGCGACTTCTTGAACGACCCAGACTCGTCTCAAGTACGGACGGCACATGAACTTGTACAAAGCCGCACAGCGCGCAGGATAGACATCCGGACCAATCTTGTTCCCCTCTTTCCCGATATCGTACTCCCCCTTCTTATTCATCTCAACCTTGAGCTGGTCCATCGGCTTAACAAGTCCAGCGCCATATCGGTCTCATCGCTGTGCTCGCCAACGTAGCAGATGACTTGGGATGCGCGGTCATAGATGTCAAACATGCGTGCAACCTGTCTAGTCCGCTCGGCAACGTTTAGTTGGTCGATGCACAAGGCATCGATCCAGATGGGCATTGCCACTTTCTTGCTCCGTATGGTACGCAAAGCCTGCTCTAGGTTCCGCCGGACCTGCATCTTCTGATCGTTAACGACGATCTCGACCGTATCCCCGGGGTTGCCCCAGGTGTACGACAAGGCGTGGTAGCGCACTTCGCACACCATCGGGCAATGGGCCAGATGGGCGATGACTGGTGCTTCGCGGTCCTCTGAAGGTGTCACGACGAGAATACGGATCTCGCCGACAAGCATATCGAGCGGCACGTAGTCGTGGTTCGTAACGGGCGCATCGTTGGATGGGCTTTTCCCTAGCTTAATTGGATAAATCTTTGGCAAGGTGAACTGGAAGGATGGTTTCGATTCATCGTCAATGTAGTGCCAGGCCTTATTCCATTCTCGATACTTTGACTGCGTTCTCCTTTCCACCATGCCCCTTTCCAGCAGCTCGGTGACGACCTCGGTCATGCTCACGACCTGAGTTGCCCTTGCGTACATTGAGTCGAGGAACTCACGGGTCCAGTACCCCTTCTGATCTTCTGCCGAGGAGAATTCTTCGAGGCAGATGTGCCGGATCCATAATGTCACGGGCAGGCGGTGACCGCGAAAGTATCTGAGAAAAACCTCGACCGCGGCTGGTACAACGAGCCCCTTGCCATCGATCTCGATCGCATCCTGTATTAGACGATAGCCTCTACTGTCTCTGATAGCGATGAAAGATCCGGCCTTGGCGAGTGGGCGTATTTCTATGCTGCATCTGACATGGTTCTCTGGATCGCTCTTGTCGCCGGGGCATGGATGGAGGACGAGAAAGCGCTGCTCTTGTGCATCACGGTCGATGGGCGTGTATTCGTATGCGGGTACGTCTAGTTCCCAGCAATCTTCTAGCTCCTTGCGCAATGTGTTCCCTGGGTATTTCATAGCAGTTTGGACTGTTGATCAATGAAGTCTCCAATATTCCGTAATTCCATGCGCTATGCACCAAGATTGGATGCGACTTCTAACATACGTATACCGGATGTTAAGAGCCTTGCGGGCGGATTTAAGATCAAGCCTGGCATTTTCACTGTTAGGCATCAGAATTCGCCTGACTGAGTTCCTTAAACGAAGGAAGTGGCAACTTCTATTCGTAGAAACCCAATGGCTATGCATAAGCGCTACTGCATAGTATTCCGGATCCATCCAATGAGCCACGATGCAGAAGCTGTAGGTAGTACGCACTACCAATTGTAAGCATCCGGCACAAAACTCAAAAACTCCATTAAGATAGTAGCCTAGTCTAAAATAGTTTATTCCAGTGCGCGGTACGCAATTATACAGATTGCCGAATGCCTCGGAATTTCAAAGTGAATCTCAGTCACAAGACTGTGTAATGATCGTTCTTGCTCAACACAATGCGCACTCGGTTCGATTGCAGAATTGGGCACCATCACATTAGAGCTATGGAATCGCTGCTGCCATGAACGGTGAATTCCTAGAAACTGCGAGGAAATCAGCTATTGGCATCGAGAAAACTAATATATGAATTGAGTTGAGGTCCGGACTTCCGAAATGAGAGATGGAATTGTTGGGCAGCAGGACCACAAATAACACTTTGTAACGATTGTGCCAAGCAGCAATCGAAGTGCTGGCGTCTGTTGAAAGCCTAAGTGCGCCTTGAATAATGAGTAGACGTACAAATTTCGTATGGATGATCAGTCAGTGGTTCATCTGAAAGCCCAGAGTTGCAGTTTGCCTGAACTCAACTGAAGTCGAACTGTCATGTTTGGAGAAACAAACTGACCAGTTGATATTCAAGGGACAAGATTCAGTACGTATCTGGGATTTCTAGTTTTGGACGGAATTCTAACGTCGTAAGGCATACCTGGCAGCAAGTTCTGCGAAATGCGCTTCAAGCCCCAGAGAATAGACATTATAACAAGGTTCAAGGTTCCACAGCTATTTGACCAGGGCTGCAGCTATTGCCGCAACGTTTCTCACCCTGGCGAAAGTTTTCCCGTCGTTGTGCTGGTATCATGACTTGCGTGCACATGAATCGCCGAAAACATCACTGATTCTCGGACTTATCAATCTTGGAAAAGATGGGGCTTGGTTGATATTTTATTTTATCTGTATTTCTAATTGAGGCCGAGATTTACTGAGCTTTACTGTTGCACACCCCCTACTCATCAAAGATGGTGGCGACAACAGCACCAGTGAGAGTGACCTGAGCAACCTTGCCACCCTCAGCCTCGGTGATGATCTTACCCGAGACGAGGTCGCGCTTCCAGATGACAACGGTGCGGTTGTTCTGATGACCGACGGCGATGAGGTCGCCGGCCTTGTTGATGGAGAACTGGCGGGGAGACCAGCCGCCGGAGGGGGCAAGCTGCACCAACTCGAGGGACCCGTCGTCCTTGATGGCGAAGGTGGACATTGTGTCCGAGGGGCCGGAGCCAAGGACGGGAGAGTCGCGGAACGAGACATCGCGGTTGGAGACGATGATGAACTTTTGGTCGGGCTGGATGAATTGTCAGTCAAAGAGTTCTACAAACACGATCATTACCAATCCGGATGTAGAATGCGCCCGCTGGCCCTAATTTGGGAGATGCATGAGGCCGTGGGGGCCGACCAGGATTGAAATAAAGCCTAGAGAAAGATCTGCCACAGTGCAGGGGGTGGGTTTTTCGCAAAGAACGAAATAGGAAATGGAGACCCAGAACAGAAAAAAAGAACTCAAACTCACAGTGATGGCAATCTCGCTTGTCGGGGCCTTGGTGGCAGGGTAGTCAGCGTTGACGGAGGGGATGGACGAGATCTTGGTGAAGGCGAGGCCGGTCTCCTTGTACTCGACCTTGTATGAGTAAATGTTTTGGTCGAGCTCGCCGTTGAAGAAGAAGACAACGTCGCCATTGGCCATGGTCTTGAAGACGCCATGGCGGGGCCCGACGCCGGGGCCGGTGACGAGGCCGTCGACCTCCTTGATCGGGGCGACGCTGTTGGGGTCCTTAGTGTAGACGCGGACCCGGTCGCCGCCGAGGTCAGCGAGGAGAACATATTGGTTCTTGGGGTCGATGATGACGTGGTGAAGGTAGCTGAGGTCCTGACGGGCGGTCACCGGGCCGGGCTTCTCGAGGGTTGGGTAGAACTCTTGGAGCGGCGCGGTGCCGGGGAGAGCTCCTTTCTCGCCCAGGGCGATGACGGAAACTGCGCTCTTATTGCTAGTTGAGACATAGTGTCAGCTTAAAACATAACTTTTGTTTAATGTCTTTAAGGTACAGATTAAGTTGTAGGTCATAGTCCGAAGAACCGGTGGGAGTCAAAGTCCGAATAGCCGGTGGGAGGCCTTGCGGAAGTTTTCCCAGCGACGCTTAACTATCCCACCGGAAGCGCCAAAACAAACGACACACGGACACAACACAGCAGTGCTTAATTCGACGTTGGGAATCCAGGACTTACTATGAAGCAGTAACATAACCGCGAGCACCAGACTCAGTGGTGACAATCTCGCCAGCAACACCGCTGGCGGGCGCCGGGATGCGAGCGATGCGGGTCAGGGCGCCTCCATCCCCGATGGAGAAGGAGTTTAGTGAGCCGTTGGGAACCGAGTTGGAGCCCCGGTCGAGGCAGTAGAGGATCCGGTTGGCCGAGTCCAGGGTGAGCCAGGCTGGGTTCACCTCGCAGTCTGCCGACTTGGAGGCGACGGATAAGCTCGCGTTGGCGCCGGTAGTGAGGGAGAGGGTCGTGACATTTCCGCCCGAGTCGGCCGCGTAGAGGGTGACGGCGTTGCAGGAGGCCGCTAGAAAGGCGGAACCTGCCAAGAGGCTCTTCATGGGTGAGGTGCGCATTGCGGATGAATTAGAAGCCGATTGTGTAAGCGGAAAAAGGCTCAATATGGAAGAAAGAATGCGCTCAAGTGAGTGAATGGGAAAGGATGAGTAAATGAGTGGATTGTGGTGTAATGAGCGAATGTGGTGAGGTAGAAAACAGGCAGGTCAATTGCAACCGAGGGGTGGGTAAATGGCGATTTAACTGCAAACCAGGTTGGCGATGTGAAGGATGAGAATGAGTGGATTCGGACTCTTTTAGTCCAAGTCTTTGTTCTGAAAAGAGCGATTGCTTCCTAGTCTGCCAAGTCTTCGCAATAGAACTCCCGCATCCAGGATCGTGAACTTGAGGGAATTCGAAACCTGTTAATATACAAACCAAAAAGGTAAAGAATGCAATCGGATGGCTCCGAGCTTCAGAGTCGCAATTGCAAAGCCCGACTTTCCAACTGGAACTGCCAAGACTCTTCTTCCCAAGGTGCCGGTATTCACGGAGATTTCAGGGGCCCTCCAGTTTTTGCCTGTAGTTCCTCAGTTCTTCTGACTCGCTTTTCGAAGGTTTTTTAACAAGACGCCTCATCGCCAAGACCAAGCAGTGTGGTGATTGCTATAACGGTCAAGAGCTAAACTCCGCGTGTACTCCCCAAGGTGGTAAGGGTCAAAACTCCGCGAGTGTGTGGGGGCCAACAGTTGGCGTTCACCATTCCCCTTGGTGTCGACTATTGCCGCTGCTACACGCTACGCCTGCTGTGCCTGATCTGAAGAATATCTGGCGCCTTTTTGCGCCCCAAGGACAAAACCTTAAAGAACGGGCGCCGGGGTGGTCGGTAGTGCCGAAAAGGGGGACGGGCTCCGGTTCCAGAATGACGGCGACATAGAGAAGACGCTTGGGAGCTAGGTTTGGCCTGCTTCATGGGGTGAATCACCCGGGCAAGGTTCTACGCTTTGAGTAGGTCAAGAGGCTGAGCGGTCAGCGCCAAGACCTAATACAGAACCAGATTGATTGACATGATTAAACAAGGCGTGATTGATACTTCTCCCTGGCTTTGGAGTGTCAATGAATGGGCCGTGGAGTCGCTGACAGTGGAACTACGCTAAGTCAGGGAGGGGACAGACGCCAAGATCGGGTAGCACCGTGGCCCTGGCTTGAAGAGGTATTTGACTTTTGAGACGGATATCGAGTGTAAGGCGACGGCCGAGCATCCGAGACCGATCTCCATTTCCCAAGGTGTCTCTACGAGAATATCCGTATGAGTCTTTAGAGGGAGACCCTCAATGGGATGGTCCCGTATATCCCGCGCTAAGTATAAGACGAACCCGTGTACAGGCTCGGATACTGATTACAGACTTGCGTTTTTAAGCCTCACAGCTCAAGTCTTCAAGATCTCTATCTTTTGATCCTTACATTCGTTTCTTTATTACCAGGCTGTATAGACCTGTACATACTACAGCTATGGATTCCACATTCTCTCTTAGACGCTTAGCCGTCGCTACACTCCTTTGTGCTTCTCCCGCCCTCGTCAGCGCGCAGGCCGAGAACAAGGCCGCCGCTCTTCAGTCTTGCTTGACGACCGCCGGTGTCCGCAACGTCATCAGCACCGATGCCACCTGGGCCGATGAGACCACCGGCTTCCAGAAGCGCATCAAGGTCGACCCGGCCGCCATCTCCTTCCCGGAGAACAAGGACCAAGTCGCCCTGTCTCTTGACTGCGCCCGAAATGCTTCCACTTCGGCGTCTCCCCTCGGCGCCGCCCACTCCTTCCAGGCCTACGGCTTCGGAAACCCGGGCAGTCTGGTGATTAGCATGGCCGCTTTTAACTCCGTCTCCTTTGACGCTGCCACCAACCGCCTCACCTACGGCGGTGGTACTCACGTTGGCCCCGTCCTCAAGGACCTCTGGGACAACCACGGCCGTCACTTCCCCCATGTCCGCGGTGCTCACGTCGGTCTCGCGGGCTCCAGCATCGGTGGCGGCTACGGCTCTTCTTCTCGCCACCTTGGTACTCCCATGGACAACCTCGAGTCCGTCGAGTACATGCTGTACAACGGCACCATCGTCAACGCCGCTAAGGGTTCTGACCTCTTCTGGGCTGCTCAGGGTGCCGGTGCCTCCTACGGCGTCCTCCTTTCTGTGACCACCAACACCCACAAGCCCCTTTTCGACACCGCCGTCAACTTCACCATTAACGGCGGCCAGCTTGACTCCACGGCCGCTGCCAAGGCCGTCATCGCCATCCAGGACTTCTCTCTCTCCAAGGACTGCCCCGATGAACTCGCACTCCGCTGGTCCCTCAGCGGCCCCCCTTACACCGGCACCGGCTACTTCTACGGCAACCCCGCCGACTTTGACACTGTTATCGCGCCCCTCATCACCGCTCTCAAGGCCATCGGCGCCAACGGCACCGTCGCGAAGACCGAGCTCCCCTTCTGGGACATGGAGGTCGCCGTCGCCGGCGCCGGCATGAACCAGCCCAACGGCGGTACCCTCGGCGGCCGCTCCTTCTACACTCAGGCTCTAACTATCACCACCGACCACCCCCTGACCGAGGCCCAGGCCAAGACCCTCTACGAGAGCACCACCATCGCCTTCAACCGCACCGACCTCCGCAAGTCCGGATTCCTCGACCTCTGGGGCGGTGTCTCTCGCGACATCGCCGATGCCGACACCGCCTACGCCCACGGCAAGAACCTCTGGCTCATCCGCTGGGAGGCCAACTCCGTTGATGCTACCTCCTACCCGGCCGACGGCACCACCTACATGAAGGGACTCATCAAGCCTTTCGAGGATGCTCTCGTTGCTGGTGGTGCTTCCCTCCGCGGCTTCGTCAACTACGCTGATACCGAGCTCTCCGAGGCCGAGTGGAGCTCCCGTCTCTACGGCTCCAACTTTGACCGTCTTAAGCAGCTTAAGACTGTCTACGACCCCGAGGGTGTCTTTGTCAACCACAAGCAGGCTATTCCCCTTCCTTGAGCGGTGGCAGTGAACTTTTCATGATTGTTGGATATACTTTACTTGGGAATGGCAGGGACAAAAATTGACAGGATACCATTGGTTTCGACCAAATCACCAAAGCTTTGATTTCACTTTTCCATCGTCTTCCAGAATAAGTGCCCACAATTGCTTCCAGTGATGAGTTTTCAATTGTAAGCATACGATGTCCACGTAACGACTGGAATTTTGTTCGAGGTCCCTACCTTCCTTTCTATTATTCGCATACTTGTTAGCGATGAAGTTTCAAAAACTCTCCGTCCAAGGTGTCCATGCTCCTCAATATGAGTCGCGTCTCACGCGCAGCTTGCTGTGTGCGGAGAAGAGCATGATGCTTCTCCAAGTTCTCCCCTCAATTCTTGCGGGGTAAAATCCACAGTCCATAAAAACACACAAGTGGAGTTCCTTCGGTCGGCATTCTCGCGAATCACTCAGTTCCGGCTAAATGCAACTTGTGGAGGCGTGGGGTCAAATCATCTCAAAGGCTTAACTCACTCTTGGCTAAGTCAAGTCGGCTTTGGAGAGCTATCTTTGATAAATATCAGCCTCAGCCTTTGTTGCCTCAGAATTGGCTGTTGGTTTGTTCCCAATTTCTTGCATTGATCATCGATACCAGTTGTCCTTCAAGTACCGAGTTCACAATGCCTCAAATTAGGAATCCAATCCTTCCCGGGTTCAACCCGGATCCCTCGATATTGAGAGTCGGAGATGATTACTACATCGCGACGTCAACTTTCGAATGGTTTCCTGGCGTCCAAATTCACCACTCCAAAGACCTGGCGAACTGGGAGCTTGTCACAAGACCCTTGAGTCGTAAGAGCCAGCTAGACATGCGCGGGGACCCAGACAGCTGCGGTGTCTGGGCCCCTTGCCTCTCCCACGACGGCCAAAAATTCTGGCTCGTCTTCACCGATGTCAAGCGCAAAGACGGCTCCTTCAAGGACACCCACAACTACATTGTCAGCGCGCCAGCCATTGAAGGGCCCTGGTCCGACCCATTCTACATCAACTCATCCGGCTTCGACCCGTCCCTCTTCCACGATGACGACGGCCGCAAATGGTTCGTCAATATGATGTGGGACCACCGCCGCCGCTTCCACGCCTTCACTGGCATCGTGCTCCAGGAGTTCGACCCGAAAGCCGGAAAGCTCGTCGGCCCAAAGAAGAACATTTTCCGCGGCACCGAGCTGGCTCTTGTAGAGGGCCCGCACCTATATAAGCGCAACGGGTGGTACTACCTCCTGACCGCCGAGGGCGGCACCGCGTACGAGCACGCCTGCACCCTCGCTCGCTCCCGCGATCTCTGGGGTCCGTACGAGCTTCACCCGCAAAAGTACGTCATCACGTCCAAGGACGCGCCCGATGCAGCGCTCCAGCGCGCTGGTCACGGTGATATCGTGGATACGCCCGATGGCAAGACGTACATGGTTCACCTGACAGGCCGTCCCACGACGGAAAAGAAGCGCTGTGTTCTCGGACGCGAGACCGCTATTCAAGAGGTGTACTGGGGCGACGATGACTGGCTATACGTCAAGAACGGCCCCGTACCGTCTCTATACGTTGAGGTACCTGGCACCAGAGATGACACCTTGTACTGGGCGGAGAAGAAATACACCTTTGAGAACGGCCTGCCAAAAGACTTCCAGTGGCTTCGGACGCCGGAACCCGAGCGCATCTTCTCAACTGAAGACGGGAAGCTCACACTCATCGGGAGGGAGTCGATCGGATCTTGGTTCGAGCAGGCGCTCGTCGCTCGTAGGCAGACGCACTTCTCCTACGACGCTGAAACCACTATCGACTTTGCACCCACCGATGAGCGCGAGTTTGCGGGCTTGACGGCGTACTACTGCCGCTACAACTTTTTCTACCTCACCGTCACCGCGCACGAGGACGGGAAGCGCGAGCTGTTGATTCAGAGCTCTGAGGCCTCGTGGCCCGATAGCGACCTTACAATGCCGTTTCCCGAGGCAGTTGCGCTGCCTGATACGGGCAAGGTGAAGCTTGCGTTGACGATCCGCGGGCCAGAGCTTCAGTTCTATTATGCTCTCGAGGGCGAGGAACTCAAGGCTATTGGGCCTGTGTATGATGCTTCCATCATCTCGGATGAATGTGGTGGGCACCAGGCGCATGGGAGCTTCACGGGTGCATTTGTTGGTGTTGCTGCGTCTGATTTAAATGGTACTGCGAGACGTGCGGCTTTTGATTACTTTACGTACCGTCCTGTTCATGTTGAGACCGATCGTTATGTAACTAAATGATGAATTCCCGCCGTCTCCGTCTGAATGTGGGAGCTGGATTGTTACAGAATGTTGAGATTTGAGAGGGCAAGCAAGAATCACACGGTTCTGTAGTAAGATTGCCTACTTTGAAATATGGATTGCAGAACACCAGGTTCTGAAGCGGTAGCAGACAGTGGCGTAGCAGGAACTCGTAGTATACGATCTAGTGTCGCATAATAGCCGTTTTAAATCTTCATTGTGCCAGTACATTCAAAATTCGATCATGTTGCGCAGAAACACAACTGATATCGTTCATTAGCAGGCCCAAGCGTAGAAAAGTTCGTTGCTCTAGACAATCTGATTGACCAACAGCGCAGCCATTGATGTCAGGTTATTCTTGGGATTGTGTTTCTGAGTATTGCGCTGGGGATCTGACCCTTCAACAGCGCCTCTGAAACCCCCTCTATCCTGGTATCAAAGTAGTCAGGCTTACTTCTGGACTGGGACGCAACTCAAAGAAACTCTTGTATCGAAGGGAGCAGTCGATTTATGACGCTGTAAGACCCTACTGCGCGCGGGGCGAATCCAGCATCGTGTATGCGGCCAAGAGCGCCTACATGGACAGGGATGGTCCGCAATCTATCTGCTGGTCACTAACATTTTATATCATACATGCGATTATTCATATTTATGCAGCTAGACAGTATATCCAACCCTATCCTTATCCCCAACCGCTCTCAAAAGAACAAGCAGCGCCTCCTTCTTTTCTGTTTAACGGCAAACCCTCAACAAGATTCGTCAAACGCTGCAGTTTCGCCTAGCCTTCACCAGAACATATTGCACAACCCTAAGAGTCGCCAGCCGCGTCTCACAACATGGAGGAAGATTATTTCGCCACGCGCAATATTGAAGAGCTTCCTAGGCACCGCCCCACCTGGAAACTTGACGCATTTGAGAGGACTTGCGCAAGTATGAGAGATCTCAACTATCACACTTGGGGCTTCGTCATTTATCGTTGTACATACGATGATGAAGATCTCTGGATCCGCTACCTCTCGCAGCTCAAGGATTTTGCTCATGAGTATCTCGTCGAGACTCGCCGAGCAGAGCTGTTAGAACAGTACCTTGATTTTCATGTTATTGAAGATCGGGCCACTCTTGAGAACGCCTCGAGACAGGATCTTAGGCGTCACTTCAAGCAATGGACTTCGACTCAGAACATTCCCGCCGGCGACGGCTTCTTCTGGAGCATAACAGGGGCAGAACTACCTCGTTTCCGCTTCTTTTTGTACGTCGACAAGCAAACCCTCGCCACCGTTGTTCATTTTCAAGACGCAGAAAAGGCATACACTGGCCATCCTAAATTCCGACTGTTACTTCCTCCGATGGTCATCACTGTCGTAGATGGTTCCTGGACGCCAGACTCCGCGCAGAGCTACGAGCCTCAGAATGAAGACGGATACCCTGAAATTGATGGCAGTTCGAAGAGATACGTCGGCTTCGAGTATTACCAGGCATGTTTCGCCACTGCATTGTACGAGAGCCTCCACGGGCATGGGCTTGTTGACTACGAGTCTTACAAGCGCCCGCCAGCGATAGGGCCTCGGGGAAAAAAGACAATGTCTTGATGAACGCCAGGAATCAAAGGGAACCGAGATAAAAATTGGTAGCAACATTACAAGTTCTAAAAGACGGTACCAGGACTGAAGCTGAAGGACTGTGTCACATTGGTAGTAATAGTTAAGACAAGGAATTGTACAATTAAGTGTCTATGTAGGTCTATGATCTAACAAGAAGGTAGAAGAGCTTCTCTTTCCTTTAGTATTTACATGTAGGCATAATCTCTTCTCCTAATTGTCAGATTTTTCATATGCAAAGAAGATTCTTTTCATCCCTCTCTCGATATCACTTTATGGCAAATACCTCTCTTAAGGTTATCATTATGGTCAATTCGACAGATTATGCTACCAACCGTCTCGCAATGTGGCAGGGGTGTGCGGACCATTCAAAAGCCCATACCCAGTAAAGTAGGTAGATCCCTCGCAGACACAACCACCACTTGCAGAACCTGGATGTAACCTTGAAGCAACAGAACGTCCACTTGAACTAGCAAAAAAATCCCTTGGAGTATTTTGCCGCTAAGTGATTCCAGAAAATCATGAAAAAAGGAAAAGCTCGTCTATCCTGGAAATCTCAAGCCAATTGCCATGCACTTAGCGGCGGATCTCAGGCAACCGAGGTGCGTCTATAACCAAGACTGTTCGATGTGTAGGATTGTCTGTTATCGAGAGATCAAATAGACCATTTCACCGGGCTTGCTATGACTGCTCGGGTCAAGGCTCCAGCTTTCGATTGGGATGACATGGGTTAGACCACTCAGCAAGCCACAGCACTATCAGAGCTGAACCTAGCAAATTTGAGCCACAAGCTTGTGCGACTGGTAACGTTAATCGCGAAGCCAAGCGATATAATACTACCTAGGTTATTAAGGCTGAAGCGATCCAGATATACGGGCGGAATTGCATGCCTGCGGGCAGCATGTTCGGTGATATCTCGAAGCGCTCGAGCCATGACTCGTGACAAAATAGGCGTCTCCACCCTCACTTGCGGTTCTGTTGGTAAATTGCTATGGGGTGCCTGACCTAAACACGTGCGGCACAGCAGCTTGTTGGGTTACTAGCGCTATCACGGAGGCTGTGAGAATTCTGGTAGGAGGAACGAGGGGAAAGAAATCCTTGATTCATGTTATTTTCAAAAGCTTGGCTGCGGCGGATGTCGAACTCGGGAAATTCGGTGAGGAATGTGACCAGTATCTGAAATACACTTGTGACTGAGCTGCAGCATCTAGTGTACCTGCCCCCTTGAAATTTTCATTGCACCCACAATGTCTTGCGCCAACATGCTATCGTTCACGGAGAACTTCCTTCCCAATCTTCTCTTCAGGTCTTGGGATTTCTCCTAAGTTCTCCGTTTCTTTGGGGCTATCGTCCACAGGCCCGATTAGCCATGTCTAAAACAGCCGCTGTTCTTCGCGGCCTGGTCTTGTTGCCTGTTGCCCTCGCCCAGCAATTTCCACTTCGAACCACTTCGTACGAGCACTTTGGTTTGAGTGAGAAGTGTTTCGAAGCACTGAACACCACTTTGGAGTGCTCTAGTCATTTAGTTAGCTACGTTAGATCAGAGTAAGCTACTTTTAACCAGCTTTGCCTACAATTTACAGTGTCAATACTTACGCCTTAGTTGCAGATCTACAAGAGTTGACGTTCTCGACGCCGATGGAATCGACGCAATTTGCAATGACGGTTGTAGAAAGTCATTAGCAGAGTTGCGGGCTAAGATTCAGAATGATTGTAACCCAAAGATCGATGTCTTCAATCATGGTTTAATGATATATCCTGGTTTGATACTACGAGATCACATCTTGATTACCAGTGTGTCTAACAAAAGATTCAGCGACGTATATTGTAGACCGCTACATTTACGTCTACGACATTTCATGCTACAAGAACAGGTACGCCCTCATTACGTACGGGCTATTCGAGGCGCAAGGTTGACGTTGAGGGGGCTCAGGGACACAGGAAAATCTTGCGACTACATTCTGGGCGAATGAAGAAATCAGACAGATGATTCCCCGCGCGAATGCGACGATTGCATTCTTGGCCCGATGGAAATTGAAGTCAACTCTCCTCTTGGTTACACCGAATCACGGGCTGTTGAGTTTCAATCCGGGATCTCGAGCTGTGGCGCTAGAGGATACACCTACACAAGTCCGTTGCCATATGCCATCAGCTCAACGGCGGCCCCTCCGGACTTGTCCGCATCCCCGACCATAGGGGCTCAGAGTTGATCAGCCCAGCGCATGTCAGGAGATTGTGCCACCACGTACCACGTCCAAGACGGCGATACCTGCGACAGTATTGCTATTGCTCAGAGCGTCTCGAGTAGGGATCTGGTAGAGGTGAATGAACATCTTGACAATTGGTGCGGTGGTCTCGGCGCAGGACAAGAATTGTGTCTGCCTGCGCAGTGTAAATTGCACCTGCTGACAACCGAGGATTCGTGCGAATCCTTGTTAAGACAATATGGAGTCCCGCCCAAGGATCTTTCGGATTGGAACCAAAAACTCTACATCCAATGTGACGGGTTCAGTGAGATCAACACAGGTTATATTTGCGTTGGGTAAGTCACAGACTCTGGTTCTCGAGCATTTCAGCGATGCGCACCTCGCTCATGACTTTCGTGGTTTCTAGGCCTCCAATTACCTCTAAAAAGTCACCAGAAATCTTACCAGCATTTGGGAAAAGCAATTCCATTAACATCACTACTTCCTCACCGGCGGCGACGAGCACTACGGTTCAGCAGACATCAGTGCTACCATTGAAGGAATCTTCTACTACTCAGGCTTCAATGGATGAAAATATGTCCAGTGGAGACCCAACTGGGGAGACCACCAAGGCGTTCTTCGGCATCGAATCATCAATTCCCTCTCGTTCAGAGACAAGCATAGCCCAGGATCCTACCTCACCTGCACAGTTTCAGAGGTCGATTCAGTGAATGAAGGTCTGGATTTTGAACGCCAAAGATCTACGCAGGTGACGCAAGTGGACATTCCGGTGCTCGTGGCCGTAACATGAGCCTGAAAGGATGAATGATGCTTCATGTACTAGAAACCTGTAACTTTGTGAACATAGCAGAATTCCGACAGCGCTTATATAAGGATGTTGTTGTTGTTGTTGTTGTATTTAACGCCGTGGCGGCCGGGCTAGAGCCCTTACCGCAGACCTCCCGAAGGGTATATGGCGTGGAGGGCCGTGAGCCAAGGCTACCTACTCTACAGTACGTCGTCTCTTTACATCGTCCTCCAAATCATGCCTTGTGGCCACTACGCGTTCTGTCTGTCCCCGGTTCCCGCTGGTGCCCCAGTTTCATTCTTTCCCAAATCGTCCCTTGGAATCGGGAGGTTCTTTGTAGTCCGCACTCACATCTACCTAGGTGTGGATGCTGCTACCGCAGACAGATCTTCTGGAAGAAGTCCGTCACGCGGAGAAAGGCCTCGAAGCCTCGTGGGTCGGTGATTAATCTCTTGAAGTAGGCCTCGAGAGATCCCATAGGACCTATGGGCTCGGGCATACTGCGAGAGTGGAGGGTCGGCCACCGTTGCCTCCTCGCCAGCGTTAGTCGACAGTAGACCAGGTGGTCCACGTCTTTCGCCTCTCCACAAGAGCACATCATTAGAGCGTCGTCGTGGTTGAAACGTCGGTGATATTGCTCGAAGTCCCCGTGACCCGATCGTGCCGCCAGCAGGTGATGTAACGTAGCCCGCGGCAAGGCCAGTTCAGGAGGGCTGGACAGAGCTGCCTCAAGCCCCAAGTCCGCGTACCGCGGCCTTCGCTCTTTATACCACCATCTCCTGTGCTGGCTTTGTAATTTTTCCCTTGCAAGCCGCTTGATGCCCGCTAGTGTTGCCATTTGACCCATCCGCGCCGGCAGTGTCGTTCCTTCTTTGGCCAGCCGGTCCGCGGCCTCGTTTCCTTCGATGCCCTGGTGTCCCGGGGACCAGTGCGTCCGTATATCAAATATCCTGGCCGCTTCTTGGATTTCGAGGAACGCGTCTTGTGACGAGTCCGGCGCCTTGCCGCGGATGCCTTGTATAACGCTGGTGTTGTCGATACATATGTGGATTGGATGACCGCGATTGGTGAGCAGAGCCCTTCTGAGGCCGGTTCGCGCCCCTTCGACCTCGGCGTCGAACACTTCTGCTAGTCCGAGTCGGCCGCACCCTTGCGCTATGCGTTTGGAGTCTCGGTAGATGACGAAGCCGTACCCCACGGCTCCGTTCGTCGCCCTGGAGCCGTCCGAGAAGACGATCATATGGCTTTCCGGTACTGTCTTTAGCCAGCGCTCGAAAGCTTTCGCAGCCTCTTCTTTGCATTGAACTACTATCTGATCCTGTGAGCTTGGCAGGTACTGTGATTGGAGGAACGTTGGTCTTCCGCATCTTGGCAGAAGTTCAGCCGTCCGTTGTAGTCTCGTCTGTTGCTGTCCCTGCTGGGAGAGCCGCGCGACTAGCGGGTGTCGGCGATCAATCCTCTGTAGTCGGACTGCGGCCCGTAAACGGACGCCTTCTAAGGCGACTTTGGCTGACGGTAAGCCGGCGTCTCGGAGGAGGCTACTGGTTGGCGTTGTCCTCCAGACAGGTAGAACGATCCTTGCTGCCGCTGTAATGACGCTGTCGATCTTCTGCACGAGCCCCTTCTGGCCTGTGTTGACGGGTCTTCCTTGGAAAGGCGGACTCGTGTCTGTCTCCGCTTGGCGTCTCGAAGCCGGCTTCGTGATACCTGCGTACCATGTTTCGGCGCCGAAGAGCGCGATCGGCAGTACGTAGGAGACGACGGCTTTTCGCACGGCGGCCGCTGGCAGTCCTCTCTTTGTGTTTGTAAGCTGCCTCAGGTGTTGAGCTGCCTTCTTTGCCGCAGCTACTCTTGTGTCGACGTGGTGCCGGAAGGACAGTCTCTTGTCGAACCAGACACCCAGCCAGCGTACAGGATTTGTCGAGGCCTTGACCACCAAATCCCCCGCCCTGACCTCTGGCAGCTCCGCTGGCTGGCTGTGCTTCCTAGTAAAGTGGATGACCTCGCACTTGCTCGGGTCGAAGGAGACCTTGTTCTCCGAGCCCCATCTGAGAATGCCGGCTGCGCTTCGGTTGAGTATTGCGACGTTGCTCTCCAGGGAGGGGCTGATGGCCAGAGTGGCGATGTCGTCCGCGTACCCGAATCGCGCGTCCGGGTCGTCTTCAAGGATCTCCGCGATGTAGAGCAGAAAGACGATGGGAGATAGTGGCGACCCTGAGGCAGGCTGACAGAGGAAGTATTCCTCGTCTTTCTGCTCTACATCGCGGAGATCCTTGAAGACGACCCGGACGCGCGATTCGGGTACGCGGACGACATCGCCACTCTGGCCATCAGCCCCTCCCTGGAGAGCAACGTCGCAATACTCAACCGAAGCGCAGCCGGCATTCTCAGATGGGGCTCGGAGAACAAGGTCTCCTTCGACCCGAGCAAGTGCGAGGTCATCCACTTTACTAGGAAGCACAGCCAGCCAGCGGAGCTGCCAGAGGTCAGGGCGGGGGATTTGGTGGTCAAGGCCTCGACAAATCCTGTACGCTGGCTGGGTGTCTGGTTCGACAAGAGACTGTCCTTCCGGCACCACGTCGACACAAGAGTAGCTGCGGCAAAGAAGGCAGCTCAACACCTGAGGCAGCTTACAAACACAAAGAGAGGACTGCCAGCGGCCGCCGTGCGAAAAGCCGTCGTCTCCTACGTACTGCCGATCGCGCTCTTCGGCGCCGAAACATGGTACGCAGGTATCACGAAGCCGGCTTCGAGACGCCAAGCGGAGACAGACACGAGTCCGCCTTTCCAAGGAAGACCCGTCAACACAGGCCAGAAGGGGCTCGTGCAGAAGATCGACAGCGTCATTACAGCGGCAGCAAGGATCGTTCTACCTGTCTGGAGGACAACGCCAACCAGTAGCCTCCTCCGAGACGCCGGCTTACCGTCAGCCAAAGTCGCCTTAGAAGGCGTCCGTTTACGGGCCGCAGTCCGACTACAGAGGATTGATCGCCGACACCCGCTAGTCGCGCGGCTCTCCCAGCAGGGACAGCAACAGACGAGACTACAACGGACGGCTGAACTTCTGCCAAGATGCGGAAGACCAACGTTCCTCCAATCACAGTACCTGCCAAGCTCACAGGATCAGATAGTAGTTCAATGCAAAGAAGAGGCTGCGAAAGCTTTCGAGCGCTGGCTAAAGACAGTACCGGAAAGCCATATGATCGTCTTCTCGGACGGCTCCAGGGCGACGAACGGAGCCGTGGGGTACGGCTTCGTCATCTACCGAGACTCCAAACGCATAGCGCAAGGGTGCGGCCGACTCGGACTAGCAGAAGTGTTCGACGCCGAGGTCGAAGGGGCGCGAACCGGCCTCAGAAGGGCTCTGCTCACCAATCGCGGTCATCCAATCCACATATGTATCGACAACACCAGCGTTATACAAGGCATCCGCGGCAAGGCGCCGGACTCGTCACAAGACGCGTTCCTCGAAATCCAAGAAGCGGCCAGGATATTTGATATACGGACGCACTGGTCCCCGGGACACCAGGGCATCGAAGGAAACGAGGCCGCGGACCGGCTGGCCAAAGAAGGAACGACACTGCCGGCGCGGATGGGTCAAATGGCAACACTAGCGGGCATCAAGCGGCTTGCAAGGGAAAAATTACAAAGCCAGCACAGGAGATGGTGGTATAAAGAGCGAAGGCCGCGTACGCGGACTTGG